GTCTCCTATGGCTCCCCACCCCATGGGTGCCCACGCTACTGCCCTGTTCCCTGATGACATGAACTCAGGTTTGTTCTGGGATTGTATTTGGGGTGATTTTTTACCTTCCTCCCTACACATTTTTGTATTGTTTATTAAAAAAAAAACAACTATGCTTAAAACGTTCCTTCGCATACACACACAGACCTAAACCCCATTGCCACCATCACACACCGAAACAGCCCACCTGAGGGGCCAAGCTGTCAACAGCCCCCAGTGAGCTGTGGCCTTGAGCACTCAACCCTCAGAACTTAAATTCTCCCATCTGTGAAACAATGCGTCTGGTCATCTAGGCCAGCCCTGAGCCCCTTGGGGGGTGGCGGGGAGGAGGGAGAATTCCAAGAAACGAAGGGTATGGTGAAAGGGAAGGACAGACAAGTACAAACTGTCCACCATCACACCTAAACCTCTGAATGTGGGGTGATGAGGGTCTGGATGTGCACTCAGGGAGGACCTCTCCCTTGCTCTGCAAAAACTCTAGTTGGCAGGTACACCCATCTCCACTGGACAGATGAGCCAGCTGAGGCTGGGAGAAGCTGAGCCGTGTCTCTCTGCCTCCCAGTTCCAGTCTCACACCCTCCCCACACACTACATCACCAGCACGGGTTTAAACACTGGTGTAATAACTATCTGTGCAAGCCTACCTGTCAGGCACTATGCTAGGCACTGGTGGGGAAGGCTGGGGCCGCTCTTTGAATAAGTCCCAGATGGGCCCTCTGCAGGAAAGGCAGCCTTGTACGCACTCACACCCCACTTCATGCCCCTAATCTCTCCTCAGAGGCAGGGGCTGCAGAAAATCCTGACATTTATTGAGCATCTACTATGTGCCAAGCCCTATCATAGGCGGTTAACACGTTTGGGCTCATGTAATCCTTACAAGAATTCTCTGAGTTAGATTCTGTATTATTCCCTTTTGACAGACCAGGCACGAAGTGGTTCAGTAACCTGCAGCAGGTCACACGTACAGTTAGTGGCAAACCTGGATTCACACGCAGCTATTCTGGCCCTAAGTCCCGGGCTCTCAACCACTATGCCCTAAGGCCTCCTCCTTTGGGACCCAGCTCCCCAAGACTCAAAGAAGGCAAGCGCCTCGTCCCCAACATGCCTTGTAGCCCAGTCCAGCGGTGACCAACCATCCTGGCTGCAAACCCCACTGTGGGTTCAAGGCACGGGGGCCTTTCCATTTTAAAACCCGGAGAGATTGGTCATCCCAAGTCCGGAACTCCTTCCACTTCCCCAGAGTACGAATGGGACCTGAATGCATTTCCTCCTTCCATGCGTATACGCCAAAGGAGAGACTCTCTAACGGTGGAAACGCAGGCATCGGCCACAGCGCGTCCCCCGCCCCACTCTCTGAGCCCCAGCCTCCTAGGTCAGACCTCTGGGCCACCGCCCCTCACCTCTGAGCCAGCGCCCGCCAAAGGTTTCAACCAGCCGCGAGAGCACGTGGAATCGCCACCGCCCGCCCAGCGGAGCCGTCACCTCCCTCCAGAGATTCCCCCAGCAAAACTCGCTTCTGCGCCTTCCCGCGCGCCTGCGCGCCGCGGCCACACCTCCTGGCGGAAGTGACGCAACCGGAAGCCGGAGGCGGATCGTGCTGGACGAGGGGGCGTTGTCTGGGTGGTTCGGCTGCCGGCGGAACCCGGCTAGCGGCGCTGAGGGCGGCGGCGGCGGCAAGAGAAGAGAAGGCGGCGGGGCGTGGATCGGCCTCCGAGGGGAAGGTAGGCGCCGGGCCAGGAGGCCGGCCTCTTAAGGGCGTGCGGGTTCGGCGCGGTGGGAGCACCCCGGAACCCACGCTGGGTTCCCGAGGGTCGGGCAGAGCATGGAACCACTGCCGCCCTCGCATCCCCGGGCACCGCGAGGGTCAGTGGAGCTGCCGGGTCAGTCGTGTTAACCCGTGGCCGCGCGGTGCTCTGGCTCAGAGACCAAGACCGGTCCGGGGCCTCGAGCGGGGCCTTCCCCTTCGTGCAGCTCCCTCGGCATGGAAACCCCACCCGCGTCCCCTCCCGGCCTCCTCCGGCTAGTCGCTGTCGGCCGCCCGGGCACCGCCCGCGGGAAGAAGCGGGTCCCTCCCCGCCCCGGCTCGCTGCATCACGCTGTAGTTGATAATAGTGCTTAAGACTACAGAGCTCCTAGCCCCCCCCCGCCAGCCCCACTGGCGTAAGACCTCTCCGTGCCTCGGTTCCGCGTCTGTAAAACGGGTGTAATAACGGTTCCTACGTGGTGGGGTTCTTGTAGGATTTCAGGAGTTGGTGAATGTAAAGCACTCAGAGTGCCTACGGCTTAATCGCTTGGCTGCTCTTCGCAGCCCTTAAGACAGGTCGCGCACACAGAGGTGGAGACTAAGTGTGTGTTGCTTCAATGAGTGAATGAAGGTTGAACGGGGTTTGAACAGGGAATTGTGAGAAGCATTAGGCCTAGAGTGGGCCTGTGTGGGTGATAAGGAGGCTTTCTTTCTGGAGGTGAGCAGGGTTGGGAATGGAACAGAGGGTGTATGTGAGGGCTGCTATAACAAAATACCGCAGCCTGGTGGGGACCTTGAACAGTAGACATTTATTTTCTCACAGTTCTGGGAACTAGAAGTCCAAGATCAAGGTGTCAGCAAGATAGTAATCTATACTATCTTGGTATAAATTTGTAGCATTTAGAACAGGAGGATACCTTAGAGATTATCTGACCCAATGGGGGAACCCCTCCACTTTCACAGAGGAAAAAACTGAGGCCCAGAATCTCCATCCATCCTGAAACCATGTATTGAGCACCTACTGTGTCGAAGGCACTCTTCTAGGTACCAGAGATACGCTGATCAACAAGACAGAAGATTTTTTTACCTTGTGACAAAGTGAGTTAGCTGAAAATATATAGAGAGCCCCGTGCCTCTTGTATCACAACACAGCGCCTGTGTTGCACGTGTTCATCCTCATGTGTGCTGTGCTGTGCTTTACTTTGGTGCTTATCTCTGGGATCACCTGGATAGTCAGGTATAGGTAGTAGACTGAAGAGGCTACTGACTTATTCCAAGGAAGGCCTTTGAGCTATTGCATGTAACTTGGAGAAGTGGTTAAGCATGTGGACTTTGGAGTCAGATTCCCTGGGTTTAAATCCCAATTCTGTGCCTTATTGATTACCTATTACTTATTAGCTGTGTTTGTCCTCTGTAACTCTGTTCAGGTTATCTATTGCTGTGTGACAAACTATCCCAAAACTTGGTGACTTAAAAACTGTTTTGTTTTATCTCACGGTTTTGTGGGTCAGGAATTCAGTCAGGGCCGTGCTGGGTGGTTCTTCAGCTCCACATGTGTGGACTGGGAGTGGTGATCAGCTGGAAGGGCTGGTGTGGAGCATTCATTGTGGCTTTGCTCCCACATCTGGTACCTGGGAAGGAATGGCTGGAAGGCTGGGCTCAGCTGAGCCCTTCTCCTGCCCCATGTGCTCTCTCCAGCTGGGTGTCTGACAGTCCTGCTATTGACTCAGGCCTTCTAGAGCCTGTGTCCAAAACGTGGAAGGTGGAAGCTGTCGGCTTGTAGGGCTTGGGCCCAGAAATGGGCACAGCTTTACACCCTTCCTTTTACCTGTTCTGTTGATTAAGGTAGAGGCTGTTCAGATTCAAGGAGACCTAGATCCCACCTCGCCTTGGGAAGAGGGTCAGAGAAGTTGTGGACCTCTTTTATCCACCAAATGCCTCATTGTTCTCGTCTGTAAAATGAGGCTAATAGTATGTAGTATCTATTTTACAGTTATTCTGAGGATTAAATGAGTTAATATGTGTAAAGAGCTTCAAATACTGCCTGGCATAGAGGAAACATTTGATAAATATTTGTTATTGTTACTAGGTACATGATACATTATTATTCATAGCTGTTATTCATAGGACACATAAGAAATACAAGATGCAAATTCGTTTTCTGGAGTTTTTTATAATCTTATTGGAGAGGCACAGGATTGACATCATGAAGCAATTAGAGAACTATATTAAGTAATATAGAATAGTTACAATTTTTATAGTCAAAGTAAACTGTGGAATGGTTCATAACTTTGCATGTCACTTCTCTATAGCTAGAGAATGTCTAATATAGATTCAGAATATTTTCTGTATTTTAACATTTAAGTCTTTGGAGGAAGGTTCTATGTTGTGTTTTTAATGTCCTTTTTCTCATGGGCATAAGAGCATGGGCTCCATCCAGGGTTTAGGAACCAGGAGGTGAGATGATGGGAGATGAGATGTGGAGATTCTGAGTTGAAGGGTCATACGGTTGGAGATGTTCAGCAGAAAGCTGGACATTTGGAACTGGTGGCTGAAGCTGGAGTTTCAAATTTAGAAATTGTCTGCTCTGAGCAGGTGAAAGCCAAGAATAGATGTGATGGTGATGGGAAAGAGAAGAGGGCCCAGGTGCTGAATCTTAAGGGACATTAACGTGTGGGGGGCTCACAGGGGAAGAAGTGCAGCCTGGAGATGGGACAGATCAGGGACATGGAGAACCGGGAGCCTTCTGGGCAGGAGGAGTTCCACAGTGGAGGTGGGCAGGCTGCACCACCACCTGTTGTGGGAAAGCTTGGGGGGAAGGGACTGAGGGCAGGCCACTGTGGGGAGTCTGTTTCAGCACAGTGAGAAGGGCAGCAGGTTGTAAGGTGAAAAAAGGAGTGGTGAGAAAGTAAAGTAGGGTGTGTAGATTGCTCTTTCAAACGTGTGAGAGGGGGGCCCTGTGATGACTAGATATACCTGGGGGAAAGGTTTGTTGTCCTGTTTTGTTTTGTTTTGCTTTTTTCAACACGGGGCCATCTTGGCGTGTTTACAGGGACTGGTGAACCAGTGGAGGACAGAGTGGAGCACTGAAAGGGGTGATGAAGCAGAGTCCTAGAAGGGGAGGAGAAGGGAAGTCAGCTTTGGAAGGAGAAGGCGCGCTTCATCCTTTGAGGTGAAGGGATTGAGGGGGGTGAGCGGGAAATTTGGAATCACAAAAGGAATTTAAAGGCACTCAGGGTATAGTAAGTCATTCATGGAATCAACCTGAGTGAAGTCAGCGTCACAGTCATTTTTATGGAAGAGGGAGACAGACGTGGTGAGAATGAAGAGAATGGAAAGGATTCAGAAGCACTGTTGTGGGGAATGTAGACGGAGTTGAAAAGAAACAAATAGAAAACGTTACTAACCAGCAGCAGAGATCAGCTAGCGTGCATTTTAGTGGTTGAGTATCTGCTGTGTGCCAGGTGAAGGTGGATAAGATGGTACCTTCAGAACTCACGGCAGAGTTGGAGACACAGGTGATAGGACATAATGACAGGGTATCTTACTGAAGTATTTATGCGGTAAGATCGCACAGATGTGACCCCAAAGTCAGACTTGAGGAAGGAACGGTGGGGAAGGGGAAACGTGGCCGGAAAGACTTCAGGAGCAGGTGACAGCTCAGCCAAACCGTGTTCAGAGCGTGGGCGTTATCTGGAAGGTGGGAGAGTCATTTGTCAATAAAGTATTCCCAGGGCAGGAAGTATCAGAACCAGAGACTTCTGAGGAGAGAGCAAGGCAGAGGTCTGCAGTCCACCTGCTTCAGAATCACCTGGATGCGCACAGTGCAGATGCCTCGGCCCCAGGACTCTGCATTTTAACTGGCTCTCTAGGTGTTCCTTCTAGATAACATGAGTTGAATACTTAATACATTGCCAGGGGCTATATTAAATGTTCACACGGGTTCTCACAATTATCTCAATAACTGAGATAGGATGAGGAAAGTAGGACACAGAGAAGTCATTTGCCCAGTCGTATAGCTAGTGAGTAGTGGGCTGGGGGTCCAAAACTGGCCAGGAACACAGCTTGTTTGGGGAGCTGCAGGTAGTTTATTTTGGAGGGCACACCTGGGATTAATAGGAAGTAAGCCTAATAATAATAATAATAACAATAATAACAGTAATAGAAGTAGAGGCCATGTTAAAAAGATTTTGCCTTCATGGTTTAGTGACTTCTTCAGTAATGCTTATGTATTGAGAATGAAAGCAAAGAAAGCAGGTAATGGCTTTTTAGTTTTTACTACCAAACTGCCATTTTAACTTCCATAGTCTCACCTCAGTCTGACTCCATTTCTCCCCACTTTTCCTCTTCCAAACACCATCTCTTACTAGACTGAGCTCCTCATCATCAGAGCCCGTGTCTTAACTCATGAAGTATCTAGCTCAGACTGTTTGGCTTCATTGTCATGTACTTGTGTGTGTGTTTCCTCCCCTAGAATGTAAGCTTCAGGAGGGTGGGGACCTGGGGTGTTTTGCTTACCGCTGTAGCCCTTGAGCCTGGCACAGAGGAGTCAGTAAGTAGATGATGAGTGGTGAAATTTTCTGTATCCATATAATGGCTTCCGTCTCATTCAGAGTCAAAGTCAAGGTTCTTAAAAGGCCCTGCAAGGCTCTACGTGGTCTGGCCCTCTGCTTGTCCTTCCCCTCCCTGCCTCTCCCTTCCCCCTGGTGTCAGGTCCTCCCTCTCCCTTGGCTTCAGCTGCCCACTCAGCTCCGGCTCACACTTCATGATTGCCAGTGTTTCTGTTCCAGGAGCCCCGGCTCATTCCCGTTCCTTCCTCAGGTCTCTGCTAAAGTAGCGCCTTGTCAGAGAGGCTGGAGGGACGAATGGATGGAGGTGCTGCCTTGTGGTACCTCTCTTATTGCCGTCTTATGGTGTGTGTTCATTTATTTTGGCTTGTGTCTTATCTCCCCAAATAGGCTCGTAATTTTCCTCAACTTCTACTTCAGTGCCCCATATACAGCTGCTCAATAAGTATTGATTTCATCTTATCCAGTTGGCCATTTTCCAACCTCATAAGTGTTTATATATGTATATTTTTTCATTGAAGTAATCTAAGTAGAAATGAGAGACGTGCATGTAGTATTAGCATGGTCATATTCTGGATTTGCACTGCCAAATATGGTGACTATTTAAGTATAAATTACATTACATGTTCAGTTCCTCGGTCGTACTCACCACATTCCCAGCGTTCAGCGGCCCTGTGTGGCTCACGGCTGCTGTATTGAGCAGTGCACATAAGGAACATGTCCATCATTGCTGATGGTTCTGTTGAACAGCGTTGGTCTAGATGCTTCAGAAGCTATGTTTTTTGCTCGTTTTTTTAAACTGTTGTGACAGGGAATCATGACAGTGAAGCACAGGTCAGCCACTGGGTTTGGGTGCCATTTGATTTCTGGTGATGGCGTCAGGAATCACAACTTATCCATGTCCTTTGTCCTAGGTCTCCTGGATGGTGGAGCATGGACCCAGTTGCTACTCACAGCTGCCATCTCCTCCAGCAGCTGCATGAGCAGCGTATTCAAGGCCTGCTTTGTGACTGTATGTTGGTGGTGAAAGGAGTCTGCTTTAAAGCACATAAGAATGTTCTAGCAGCTTTCAGCCAGTACTTTAGGTACATATTTTAGACTTTGTTCTTCCAATTGTACGGAGAGAAAGCTCTTCTAGAATGGAACTATTTTGACTAAATTTTATTTTCTCCTTGGATTTCACTCTCCTTATCTTTTGTAGCACATTGTGGGTTTTTTGCTTTTGTATTGAATATTTAGAGTAACCTGAGAGGGAAAGAGCCTTTTAACTAAAATATATTTGGGGCACTTGAAACTATTTTGGCACTTTGTCTTTGATTTTAATAGTTCCAATTAACGTCCGTCTTCTGTATACATTTCTTATCCTTTCAGGATAAGAAGATTGAGAAATAGAATTTCTGGTAAGAACATTTCTTTGATAAGAAATCAGAGAGCATTCTATACGCTATTTTTTTTAAATTAAAACATTTTAGTTTTTGTTTCTCATTTGACTATTCTAAGAAAACAGGTTTGAACTCAGTTTACTTACCCCTGTAATCATTTTTGCCTCAGTGAAAGATTTACTTATAAATAGTAATATCAAGCGATAGTATTTCATTTATTTTTAACATTAGATTATGTATTCTGCATACATTTTCTGATTAACTAGATTTATCTCTCTTTAAGCACTAAAGCTTCTTTTTCAGTACCTTTTTTCCCCTAAAATTCATACTATTTTATTGCTCTAGTAAACAACATATGGAACAGGATTTACTCATTCCTTGATAATCCTGAATCATCAAATTAAATCCCAGCTGTCATACATGCTACAAGTTGTATTATAGTGGATTGGCTCACTGAGGTAGGCAGCACTTTTTGCCCGTGTGCAAAATGGTCCCCTACTTGGTCTTTGCCTGTTCTGTTTTCATAGAACAGTTAGGTTTAGATGTTGTGATACATTGGCTATTTTGAGTTTTCCCCACTCTACTTCTGATATGTACTTTCCTTAAGTACATATTAGAACAGAACTGAAGGCTGTTTGGGGGATGCAGGTGATTGCATTTGATAAAAAGTCTTTAACAAACTTGCAAGACAATTTACCTGACTCAACTTGGTAGTTTTACATGCGACAAATTCATTCACCAGTGAACTTGACTTGTGCCCAGAACAAAGTGCCTGGGCTTTATGGTGCCTTTTGCCCCCGTTAACTTATAGGGCTCTCTCACTGCTGGTTTATGGACCATTGGGTTGCTGAGAAACATCTGACAGCCAGATAAATTACCGCTTAAAAAATGAGTATCTGTCAAGTACCTAGAGTAGTCAGATTCCTAGAGACAGAAAGCAGAATGGTGGTTTCCAGGGGCTGAGGGGATGGGGATAATGGGAGTTATTGTTTCACAGGTATAGAGTTTTTGTTTGGGATGTTGAAAAGGTCCTGGAAATGGTTAGTAGTGATGGTTGTACAACAACATGAATGTACTTAATGCCACTGAATTTATCGTATGAACCATAGTCAAGTGTTTGACATTATGTGTATTTTGCCACAATTAACAAATTGAAATTTTAAAAAATTAGTGTAGGGCTTCCCTGGTGGCGCAGTGGTTGAGAGTCTGCCTGCCGATGGAGAGGACACGGGTTCGTGACCCGGTCCGGGAGGATCCCACATGCCACGGAGCCGCTGGAACCGTGAGCCATGGCCGCTGAGCCTGCCCGTCCGGAGCCTGTGCTCCGCAACGGGAGAGGCCGCAACAGTGAGAGGCCCGTGTACCGCAAAAAAAAAAAAAAAAAAAAAAAATTACTGTATATCTAGGGTTGGTTTATTATAGCTATTTTTATTTTCAGATGTTTTTAAGACAGATATGGAAATATTTTTGTATGTGTTTTATGGTCTGAGATATGTACTTTGTCAGACTAAACACAAAATATTGAAAAATGTGTGTTCTTTAGTTTTCTATACTCTGCAATTAGTATTACATTTAGATAATTGCATTTTGAAAAAAAGAACAATGAGTATATTTCAAAATTTTATGTTGAGATTTCCTTGGAAGTTTGGACATTCAACACACTAATTCAGTGCGTCCGAGTTGCTTTATTGGATGGCTTGCCAAAACCTTTTAAAGGATTAAAGCATACTTAATTTTAAAACCTTGGCATTTATAGAAGGATGGTAATTTTGAATATTAACATGGATATTATTTATAAAAAAAGCTATCAGAATGTATGAACTGTTAACACTGTAAGCAGATATCCTTTCTTTTATCAGGAGCCTCTTTCAGAATTCTTCAGGTCAGAAGAATGATGTTTTTCACTTGGATATTAAAAATGTAAGCGGCATCGGGCAGATCCTGGACTTCATGTACACATCGCATCTGGATCTTAACCAGGACAATATACAAGTCATGCTGGACACGGCACAGTGTTTGCAAGTTCAGAATGTTCTGAATCTGTGTCACACATTCTTAAAGTCAGCCGGTGTAGACCAGCCACCCGGCCTGCCTTGTCACAGTACATTCTCCCTGCAAAGTGCTTTGACTCCTGACGCTAATTGTGTTATCAGTGAAAACTACGCCCCTCATTTGCTGCAGGAGTGCTCAGCAGGTGTTCAGCAGGGTAGAGTTGTGGATGAATCACATTCTCATGCCCCACCCTCAGTTGGTCTTCATACTTCCACAGCTGAAACCTCAAAACAAGCCCCTGATACGTTAGATGGCAGCTGCACAGAACTGCCTTTCAAACAGCCAAACTATTACTACAAGCTCAGAAACTTGTACAGTAAGCAGTACTATAAACAAGCCACCTGTCCCAGTCATGAGAGAATAATCAAGCAGCCTTTCACTTTCAGCACATCCTCAGACCTTCATGCCGCGGAACACCAGCCCTGTGCTGTTGGTCACGCCGAGTGTGTCCTGGAGTCCTCCGAGCACTTGCCTTCCAACTTCCTGGCCCAGCCTTTGAGTGAACCTACCCCAGACCCTGAGCCAGACCACGCAAGCCAACAACCTACCAGACAGATGAGGCTCAAGAAGGCCATTCACCTTAAGAAGCTAAATTTCCTAAAGTCACAGAAATCTGCAGAGCAGACATCTGAACCCAAGTCAGATGACAGGTTAACCAAGAGGATAGAATCTGCCAGTGACCATAGTGTAGAGAAAGTTAACAGCCAAAGTGCTGAAGAAAAAGAAAGTGAAGAACTCATCAGTTCTGAGAATTTTAATTGCATGAATGAGATGGAGAGGCCCGAAGACACTGCGGCCCTGGAAGACCAATCCCAGACACTTCAATCACAGAGACAGTATGCGTGTGAATTGTGTGGAAAACCTTTTAAACATCCCAGCAATTTGGAGCTTCACAAACGGTCTCATACAGGTACACTGATTCGGTCCCCGCAGGCAAAAGGAAAGGAAATAATGCAGACGATCAGACACCACTGCCTGCTCCTGTTTTTGTAAGAAGTTTTGCTATTGCTTGATGACGTCATTGATATTTACCCCAAAAAATCAAAGAGTGTTAGCTATTTTTTATTTTATACTTTTGGTGATGCCTTTTAAAGAATAATCTTCATTTCTGTAAATGCTTTCATAGAGCCAGTTTAAAAGAATGGTACACGTTTCATTTTAACTTTAATTGCGGTTGTATATGGGAAACTTTCCATCTCTACAGTATGGCAAATTATTTTGATGCACTCAGAGTTTCAAATTAATTCTAAAACAGATAAGCAATATTTAGTTCTCTCTTTAGAATTAGATTGTTTATTTTTTAAAAGCATAAGGTAGGTTAATTCAGACTGAAGTAATTTAGTTTGAGTAATCCTGAAAGCTTTGGAAGGTAATTTGAATATCAGATTTAAAAAATTGTGATTTGGGAGGCAGGAGGCAAACTTTTTAATAAGGATCAGCTTTAACCATTTGATATTTTCAAGTGAAAATCTTTCCATCTGAACATTGAATTTTCAAAGTTTTGTTACCTTAATTCATACCTTAGTTCATGTAATTCATACCTCCCCTTTCCAAAATGTTTATTTTTTCCAAAAGCTTTAAAAGAAAGTGTTATACAGTATGTGTACATTATGTAATATAATACATATATATTACTTTCCTTCCTGCATTTAAGCATGATGACTCTAGTACACATTACAAATTAATGGCAATTATCTTAGAGGCATGAGAAGGAATATGTTATAGGATGCTTCTAAAGTAACTGCTTTTCAAGGTACTTGTGTAATTGTGACCATTGATGTGATGTCCTGTTATCACTTTTGATTCCCTGTTTGCTTAGGTGTTTACTACCTCATTGCACTGTTGAGACTGAATTAATATTTATGAAAGCCCTTTATAAATTTTGGTGTATTTGAATATAAGATGCTATCATTATTATTACTCCATATGAAGACAGTATCATTGACTCAGTTTTGCCCTGTAAAAACTTAATTTAGGTCATTCTGTAATTTTCTGGAGTCTAATGATCACTATAATTTTTATTTGAGAAACTTACCTATTTAGCTTTAAAGGAAACAAGAATTGTTTATTCTGCAAGAACATCTTTGGTTAATAGTAGTCATACAGTTATATGGCACAGCTGCTTCCTGGGACATAAATATATTGAGAAGGGCAGCAGTTCTCAAAGTATGATCTGGGGAACCCTTTCAGGGGGTCATTGAGGCCAAAACTATTTGTATCATAATGTAGGATGCTCCTTGCCTTTTCCTTCTCCTTCTCCCACAAGTGTACAGTGGAGTTGGCTAAAGGCTGCAGATCTGTGATGAGGCCTTCACTCTGGAGGCCAGTGAAAAATGTCTAGTCGTGTGTTTCAAAAATCACTCAGTTTTGATTTCTAATATGGACTATACTGCCAAATATGGCCCATATGAACAAAAGCTCTTAGGGTCCTCAGTTGTTAAGAGCGTAAAGAGGTCCTGAGAACAAAAAGTTTGAGAACCACTGGAGTAGGGTTGTTAACCCTGGTCACTTGAGAGTCTTAGGAACTAGTGATCTCTTTTTTCAGACTCTCATATCTCATAGGGCGGACTTTAACGTAACATCTATTATCCCTTAACTTCAGACATAAATGTAGTCCAAAATACAGCATCCATATGATTATAATTACAGTTGACCCTTGAACAACGCAGGGCTGAGGGGCACTGACCCTCTGAGCAGTTGAAAATCCTAGTCTAACTTATAGTTGGTCCTCCATGTACTGGTTCCGCCACATCTGCAGACTCAGCCAACTTCCATCATGTAGTACTGTAATATTTACTACTGAAAAAAATCCATGTATGAGTGGACCTGTGCAGTTAAAACCCTGTTGTCCAAGCGTCAACTGTACTTGGGGTCAGAAGCTCCCCCCTTATCCTTGAGGAAGCCATTAAATAGTTTTTAGGAAAAGATCAAAATAAAAGTACCTTAGCAGAAGCCCATAAAGCTGGCACACCCCAGCAATACAGTAGGAAGGGAAACATTTGTGTTATTTTTTTTAAAAGGCTCTTAATGAAAGCACTTGATTTGAGGGGAGTGGGAAAAATGGAAGGTTCTTGGTCTTAACAGTCTGTTTATTAGGGTTCTAGAGGTGTTAAAGGCAGTACCTGAAGTATGTTTTTAAACAGATTATTTTCTAGAGACTGTCTTCAGAATTGCTGTGGTTTCTTTGTAGTAGAGTCCATTCTCTCCATCTATTCTGTACCAAAGTGTAATTATTCAGAGTTGCTGAAGTCGGGGGGCCAAGCAGTCAGCAGGGGAACATGTCTCATCATGGAATCTTCTTTTCCCCTGTCAGCACGTTGCAACCAAGGCTGAAAGGCAGTGGGGAGGGGATTTTTCCCATCACACTTTCAGGAGATCCCGCTCTGCTTTGGGCTGTCCCAGGTTCATACCTCATGTGGTGTGAATGAGTCACCCTGGTTCTGTTAGGAATCGGTGGTCATTGCAGGAGTCAGGCTGAGGACGGGTGACCAGGTTCATGTTGTTCAGCCAGAAAACTCACATTTGATTTTCACCTGAAGGAAAAGTATGTGTCCAAAGCCTAAATATGGTTTAAATGCAGATAAATACGTTTGATTTCAACACAGGTGTAAATTTGGAGAACAATTTAATTTTTTAGAGAAAAGTAAATATAGATTTCACTTTTATCATCTCTGCCTGTCATCTAAGGGTGCGAGAGATGATGAGGATGAGGACAGAGGCTCCCGTTTTCATAGTCTGATGATAAAGTATGTAATGCTGTGGTTTGGAAGGTGGGACAAAAGAGACAGCTTAAACATTTTACACAGAAAACTATCCTGCAGATGTTACCCATGGTTTTACAAGTTGTTGTTTTGTTTTGTTTTGTTTTAGGTGAGAAACCTTTTGAATGTAACATTTGTGGGAAACATTTCTCTCAGGTGGGAATTCTTTTATTTACTGTTAATAATTGGAAACCTGAAACCCAGTGTTTATTTTTATTACAGATAAGACATACTTTTGGACTTGGGAGAGAAGCCTCTGATGATATCTGTAACTTAAAAGACTTCAGACTAAATCAAGAAAAAAATAATTCTCAAGAAAAGAAATTTCTAGTTCATTGGGCGGAAAATACCATTTTTTATAAGTGTGTGAACTCTCACAATACCTTTTTCCCCCATTAAGGATGGGTCCATTTCTAGCATATTTCTTTTCTTCCACAAGTGATGTAAACCGTATTGAGCACCACTTGGGGGCTGCACGTTGTGCTGGGCTGGACCCAAGACAAATGTCCTTATTCTTACTGAGACACTAGGTGTTAGGGTGTTGGAGAAAAGACCAAACACATTTCATTCCCTGCTTTCACTACCATTACACATGTATTCTCTCACTCAGCCGGCATGTGTTGTGTCCTCCTGTGGGCTCTGTACTGATCTGGGCACTAGAAGTAGAGAAACCTAGAGATTGAATGTTCTAAAGAAAATTTTGAACATGATAGAATGGCTGTGGGATCCTGCTTTTCCTTCTGAAATGGAAGGTAACTCTTCCCTTACCACGTGCCGGGCATTGGCATTCCAGAAGCTTCTCGCAGGGTCCCAGTGCACAGTCCTGCAGAGGAAGCAGTCACCCCACAACTGTTTTTTACACACGCATGCTAATCCTGGAGTAACAGCATGTGCAAATGCTGTCTTACTGGCGAAGGACCTTGGGGCTGGGCCTCAACGGAGGACTCGAGCCCTCTATTGTGGAGAGAGCGGGGCAGCGTGGCCCCGTGGAGCACGGCAACAGCAGGAGTGAGGCCCCTGCTTTTGTCACATCCCCCCGGAGCCGGCTCTTCCAGTTTACCCTTCATCAGTCTCCCACACACCCAAACCTGCCATCTAATTACTTCTCACTCTTCCTACTGGCTGCAAGCAGTGATTCACCTCATCCTAACGTGTTCCTGTGTATTACTAGTCCAGGCAGGGTCCGTGCACCCACCAAGTGTTCAGTGAGCTTCTGCTGAACTGAGTGGAGGGGTCGTTGCTCCACCTGCCTCTCTCGTTGAGGCCTGTGCTTCTTCCTACCAGCCTCACCTGGGGGTCAGAGCTTGGCCTCTAGAGCCAGACAGTCTGGATTTGGATCCAGCCTCTGGTTTACTGCTCTGACCTTGGACAAGCTAGCTAACCATTTGGCACTCAGCTTTCTTATCTATAGAGCAAGGGTGTGAGACCCTTGACCCCCATGGTGTGTGAGGAGCCAGTGAGTTCATAAGATGATTAGCATCTCACCTGGCTCATGGTGAGTCCTCAGGACACGTCACTAGTCCCTCTCCTGTTGCCATTGCCTCCCTTCTCTCTCTGTCCTCTCTGCTCTTGTAGACCAGTCTTCCTAAGGTGCACTTTCTCCACCCCACATCCCACCATTTTAACCTTTCTAGTTTTGGTGTAGTGGGAAAGCGTAAAACCTGGATTAATGACCGTTAATAGTTAGCAATCTCTACTCTGGGCCTCATTTTTCTAATTCTTAAAAATAGGGATAATACCACCTCATGGGACTATTAGAATTAAATGAAAAAATGGACATGAAAGTCCTTTATACGTTTACGTTGTGATAACAATTTAGGTTCTGTCCTTTTCTTGCTTGGAACCCTTCCTTGACTCTTCAGTGCTAACCAAATAAAGTGTACCCAGACATTCAAGCATCGCGTCTGCCTTCGGCCTTCTCTCCTGGCGTTAATGCCGGGCTCACCCTCAGAGATTCTGACTCTGTTGGTTGGGGCTGGGGCTTGAGTGTTGGTACTTTTTAATACAGTGGTTTGGATGGCAGCCCTGTCCACTGCTTCAGACCTTGTCCTACACTTTCCCTCTCGAGTCCCACGAAGGGCGGCCCTGTCTGATAAACGTTACAGAAATCCTCCTCTTCTGTGTTGGTGTCTGTATGTTTACCAGATTTTTATGACTGTAAAGTTATGTATAATTATAGTTTACAGATGTATATCGCTGTTTTATTTCATAATGAAGTAACGAAAGTTTTGTGAATAAGCTCTGCCATGTGCTAGGGCACAAAGACAAGTAAAAGCTTCAAGGAGCTTTGCGTTTAGAGGAAGAAACTGTTGTATAAACTGATAAAGCACAATGAAACGCTGCAAGTGCCGTGACACTTGTATAGGCAACGGTATGAAGAGGAGAGTAGTCATTTCTACCTGAAAGTTGGCGGGGGCGGGGTGGGCACTGAAGACGGAGTCATTGATCAGCCTAGAGTCTCTGGCATTCCAGGTGGAGAGAGCAGTGGTGGCGTTTACACACGAATACTCAGTAACCTGTCCTTCATTTCTCATACGAACTGGAATACGTGTGGTTACAATGGACTGGAAGTATTTTCCTTTCTGGAAGATTTAGAAAACAGACCTACCAATAAGAATTAATCTTTTATGCTGTGTAGTATTTCGTAGTGTTAGTCTTTTTTAAAAAAAAAAAAGGTCAGCCACAACCTTAATTATGAGTCAGCAAGCAGTTTGAGACCTCAGCTTTAAAACGCTGTGATAAGCCTGGATTGTGACAACAAACTATGCACGTATTAATATAATTCTGGACACTGTATGGGCCTGGATCTCAGCAAGTAAGGGTCACGCAGTACTTTAGAGTATGAATGAGGCTCCATTTGGAGCCACGTGTCTCCCGTGTGGAGGAGAACCTGAGCCATTTGGTGCATCAAGGGGAGAAAACTAAGATAGTGACAGGTCTGGAGTGCCTGTTACATGAGAAACAGGAAAAGGGAAACAGTGTATTTAGCTGTCTTTGGGGAGAGGAATGGAGTTGCTTTGTCTCTCCAAGGAGGCAGAATAGAAACACTGAGCAGCTGCTGCAGAAGGACAGGTTCTGAGAGGCTCGGTGCCCTCCCAGCAGCTCCTGTGTTGTGTCCAGGGCATGACTGACGGGATACAGCATCCGATAGGAGGCTGCTTAGACACATTCCAGGGCAGTGATGTGACCCGATGCCAGGGGTGGCAAAGTTTCATCCCATCCATGGTGAAAATGCAAAAAATAAGAATATTTTAATGAACTTTTCTTAAATTTTTAAGTTTTCAGCTCTGAGGTGATATTTCCCACATTTTCAGTGTTAAATGTCCTTTTATCAATATAATGATCATTGTTCTTTAGGTGATATCTCAGTGTAAATCTCCATATTTTTTTTGTTTTGTTTCAAAGTCTTAAAACTTCTGAACTAGATTGCTTTTAAGATCTGAGTTCTCTTTCTCTAAAGTTTTACGGTTCTCTATTTTTTTATATAAACAATCAGCAGCCACTAGAAGAGTACTCTGCCAGAGAATCTCTGCCTGGTTTGATCATGTTTAAATACTGAGTTTCAGGTACCTATTAGAAGGAGTTTATTTTTTAAACTGCTCAACAAATCAGGTGTTAACTTCTTTTCTACAACAGAGTTTTTCACTTCAAAATTCTGACAACTCCATCCTAATTTAAAATGGTACCACTTAGAAGGGGTGGAACTTCCTTTTGTGCAGATATTTTTCAGCCCAACAGCAGCACAAGCTTTTGAGTCCACAGACGAAGCTGAATTAGAATATTCCATCCCAGCTATGGGGGCTGAGGCTGCTTCCCTCCCAGAGCCTCTGTTTACTTCCTGTAATGTGTGAATTATACTTTATGAGGACATTGTGACGACTCACTGAAACACTATTTGCAACTGCTTAGCAAAGTGTTCCATTCATAGTAAACTCTTCATAACTGAGGGCTACTAGTATTAGCACTTACTGGAGTTTTCATGGATCCAACTATAGATGATTTCTAAGTTGTGTAATAAAGCATAGCAAAGTTTACCAAAAATAAAGACTCTTGACTAAAGGGCAAATAATCTGGGCCCCACTGTGCTATGTAATTCGGTATAAATTATCTGAATGCATTATTGGATGTTTTTGCCTGAATCTTTCCATTATTTAATCTACTTTTATACCATTTATCAGACTAATTTGTGCTCCTTTATTTGGGGGAATGATAATTACTTTCATTAGACATGTCCAGTATTAAATAGCTAAGGAAACATCTTAAAGTTTGTTTTACTGTTGTGTACTATAATATTAAGTGGAAGATCATTCAGTTTGAAAACAAGTAATTGTTTACTTTGAAAACCAAAGTAATTGTTTACTTGTTTACTTTGAAAATAAGTAATTGTTACGCTTTATTTAAAAAAGAAAGATGCAGCATTGCTAAGAATCAAATCAGAATGCATTTCAATCATAATACATAGTTTACAAAATAACTTGAAACAAGAGGGATCTAATTTAACTGTTGAGCAGATGGTGCTATTCAAATTGTTATTTAAATGAAAAGCTTTTCTGAAATTTGGAAATGACTGATTTAAAGCCCTCAGTGGTGCATTATCTCCACTCCAGTGAACTGGTTCCTGTATGGCAAAGTGACTGCTTGTCATACTGAATTCAGCACAAGCTAGTTTATTCACAGAAACTTGCACGCCCTCATGTAAGACAAGAGTTTAAACTCAGACAAACTAATATTAATTTCTGGCCTACCATGTAACTAGAGCAACTAATTTATTTATCTGAATCTCAGTTTTACACCTAGAAAACAGAGATAATACCAATTTCTAAGAGTAATTTAGTTATACTGTACTTGTAAAGGCCTGAGTAGACCAAATATCTATTGCTGTTGACATTTGCTGTTTTATTACTGTTATTAATAGTCATTCAGTTAAAAGCTGGGTATTTCCCAGTGTTTTGCCAGATTCTTTCTCTTTGGTTATCTAAAATAAACAAGTTTTTTCCTAAGCTATATTTATCATATTCTGAAATGTAGTCTCTAACTTAGTGTTTCCCAGAGTCTGATAGACATAAAGAATCTTCTGTGTTATATAACATAAAATCTACAGACAACATTCTTTATACCTGTCCACGGGTTCAGAACCACCTTCAAACCTATAACCATGAACTATCTTTGCATTTTGTTTAAAATATACATAGCAAATTTGTAAATTTACATAGCCAAGTTTGTGAGTTGGGTATTACTGTTCATTCTCTTTTTTTGGCTAATTTTGTGCATAAGGCCTGCAACATTATTACCCTTAGATATAGTCATCCTGCTCAGTGTTTTTTTGTAACAGAACACTATAAAAAAATTAAGTTGGGAAATGACAGATTGAGAGTATTATATTATAACAATGGAAGATTGTGTTTCCAAATCCTAATTTGAAACATTTGCCAGTAGCTTTTGTAATATCTGAGGCATTTGCAGGTTTGATTTCACTGTACTTTAGGCAATTTAATATTGATTTCCTCTTGATTAGTACATGGAAATCTATTTTGTGATCTCCATTTAAATCAGTTATTCTTCGTAAAGCCCTGCTAGTTTCAGAGATTAGAAACGTAAAAGGCCTGCAGCTGAAGGACTACTGTGAATCTCCTGATTGGCTTTTTTGCACGAAGGTGAAAATGACCAACCTGTCAGGCAGAACAACTGTACTGCCAAGAAGAAATACTTTTTGGAAATGTCTTACTTTCTTTATAAACAAAAGCTGTTTTTCAGGAAGAAACAATGAATACTGAAATAACCAAGTACAAGTGCTACCTTTTTTTCAAATGATGTTGCGTATAGGTGGTCCAGGTTTTAAAAAAAAAAATGAAATAAAATACATCAAGAGCTGTTTACAACACAAGCTTAGCGACCCCTAAAGCAGCCTCCACAGTGTGTCGGGCCCATTTTAGAGGGGTGCGACACCGTGGACGGACCAGGGGCTGGCGTGGAGCAGAGCTGAGAGGCTCCCCTGTTCAGCTCACTGCTGGGCGGGGCTGCTCCTGACTCAGAACCAGGCCGGACCTTGATCTCCTTGCATGTGGCTGCGTCTGTCTGAGTCGTGCATCCGGAGTCTTCATTTGGAAGTTGGACTGGAACCTGGCTAAATCTGCCAGTTTTCCTTTTGAATTTATGTGCTCTTAAAATTTTTTTTTCACTATTGGCATGTTTTTTCTTTTCCTTTTTTACAGGCGGGTAATTTGCAGACTCACTTACGTCGGCATTCTGGGGAGAAACCATACATCTGCGAGATCTGCGGGAAGAGGTCAGTGCTGGGCTCGTTCATTCGCACGTCAGGAGCAGTCTTGGCATCTCTGAGCCACGTAGGGGCTCACTGTCACTCAGGAACACAGTAAAGCCAAACCCTCTGGCTTTTCTTGTGACACACATGAGAATAGCAAAAAGAAATGGAAATGTTAATTAAAGGAAAGAGAATCTAGGACACAAGTCTTAGGAAATGGGATTTTACATGAAACAAAATTATGCTAAAATTTCCATTCATTCCAAAAATGTCTGTTAAAATAGATGACTGGCCCCCACGGAGGTGACTGTCTGGTAGGGGTAATGAGACTCGCAGCCTGAATGCCTGGAATCAGGAGAGGAGGTGGTAGGAGGCACCCCAGCTGCGCACCCAGACCTGTGAAGGGCCGAGAGTTCAGCCACAGGAAGGCCTGGCAAGCCTGAGGGCTGGGGAGGCCTTGGACTTGGAAAGTGAGGCTTGACTTGGTGACAGTCTCCCTCTGGAGGTGGAGAGCAGTATGAGGAGATGGTCCCTCCTCTAGGCACACCGGCCTGCAGCGTGGACTCCCCGCCCTCACTGGGGGTGTTTGTCGGGAGTCCACATACTCTATGATCTATTGGTTGGTCATTCTAGGACAGCAGGCAACAACCAGGACTATACCAGTCACACAGTGTTTTCTTCATTCGTTTAACCAGTCATTCATTCAGCATTTATTAGCCACCTACTGTGTGCTAAATGCTGTGTTGGGAACATACAGATTCTCGGCCCCTGATAAGTTCGTACTCAGGAGTTGGGGGCGGGGTGGGATGGGCATAGGACAGCTATGGTCACAGTCCTCTGCTAGGATGGGACAGCACTCTTGATTCGGTTCCAGGAAGACAGTTACCTTTGCAGATGGTAGAAAACAAAGAAGTGAAAGCTACCTAGCCTGACATGTCTCCCTTTCTGCCATAGCTGCCCAGGTTTAGTGCCCAGGTCACATGTACTGCCTGTTTGAGGCGCCTCTTAGCATAAGCCCCCTGCTGCTTTGCTTGGGGTCCCTGTTTTGCAGGATGTTTTAAATGTGAGCCTTCTGAGCTCCATGCATTTAAAATCATGTCTCTATGCAACACCTTCCCCCAAATGCAACCTCTTATCCTGCTATCGAGTGTGGTGGGAAGGAAAGAGCATAGAGCTTCATACTGGGGGTTGGGTTGGAGTTACTCCCCAAGCCAACTTAGTGATCACCTCTGAAGAAGAAAGGTTAGTGAAAGTAGGTAAGAAAAAATGTTTTAGAAACAAAACACTTGGATCATTTTCTACTTTCCTTTAAAAAGAGAATAAAAGTAAACTTTTTTGTTTTTTTTTAAATCTCTGAAATGAAATCAGGCCACTCCTCATCACATTCCGAAGTAATAGAGGGAGCAGCTCATCTCCTCCCGCAGCGACTTGCAATTAGAAAGATTTGCAGTGACGTAGAAAGGCTCTTAATTGAATTTCCAAATTGCATTACAGGTTTGCAGCCTCTGGTGATGTCCAGCGTCACATCATTATTCACTCAGGAGAAAAACCACACTTATGTGACATCTGTGGTCGAGGTATAGCTGAGGGTTTCCCTTTTCTTCCTTGAAAATTTCTGATTAAAATGTTCTCAGCCCTTCAATTTAACCCCTGTTGTGGTCTCTCTAGGGTTCAGTAACTTCAGTAATTTGAAGGAGCACAAAAAGACACACACGGCTGATAAAGTCTTCACCTGTGATGAGTGTGGAAAGTCTTTTAACATGCAGAGGAAGTTGGTAAAGCACAGAGTTCGGCACACGGGTGAGCGGCCTTACAGCTGCTCTGCCTGTGGTAAGTTCCTGCCCACCGCAGACCCGCGGTCACCTGGTCATCCGTGTGGGGAGGGCACCGGGGTCTGTGCCCACTCCGTCCTGGGCTGTTAGGGGTCTCAGATAAGTCGTCCCTTTTTTCATGGGTAAAATGGAAGTGATGCTGTTTCTTAACCACCTTGGTCCTCTGATTCGTCTGCATTTGTGTAGCAGGCATTTACTGAGTGTCTTCAAGGTATCAGGAACCGTCCTGGGTGCTCCAGTTACACAGATGACTGATACTGAGTCCCAGGTGCCCTGTGCTCCTGGTCTGGGCCCGTGGAGGGTTGGCAGTTGGAAAAGCGGGGGAGAGCGTGGGGTGCAGCAGCAGGGGCTAGAGCATGGTGGCCTGCTGGGGCCTCGGGGGCACACGGTAGGCTCAAGAGGGAGGGCTTCTTGAGATCATATTGTGTATCATGAAGCAAAGGTCGTTTCTACGGCATTTGACGCCTCAGAAAAGTCATCAGGAAGGAAAGGGAAGGCTGGCAGCTCTCAGTTTCCAGGCACGTCACTGCACAGATGAGGAAACTGGGATTGCAAGTTAGGTCACCTGGTACCTGTGATAACAGAGTGTTGGAACCTCTGAAGAACTGGGAGGGCCTGTATGCATGTGTGGTGCAGCTGTGCACACGTGCACACGTGTGCCCCTGACAATGTGGATTGAATCGCAGGCAAATGAGTGAATAACCATTTTTACGATTACCTGTTTAGAACAAATAGGAAAAATGCTCAGAGTCAGGCTGTGGGGAGCCTGGAATTGGGGCATCCTCGGAGTGGCTTGTTCTAGTTGTGGTTGGTATCTAAATTAGGGCAGGACGCGTGGGATGTAACCAAAGGGAGGCAGCTTTGTTTGTATCTCCCACTTACACTGTGTACAGATCTCCTGGACACCAATGTCGGCAGCTCCGTTACTATTAAAGGGTAAAATTGCATCACTTTAAATCACAAATGCAGTCTCAAATCACTAGTTTAAAATGTCAGTTCTAAATTATTATTACAACTGTGAACTTGATTTCAGGTTCACTCTTCTCTTCCTTCCCCAGCCAGGCCTGCTGCTGGCTAAGACCCTGTAGAGAAAGCAGTGCAGCAGGACCCTCTCTTCCCCCCACTTCGTTTCCACCCCTCCAGCCACTCACTGACCATGGTTTCTGACCCTAACAAGGTCAGCTTTCAGGGAAAGGGGGAGGGAGAAAGGGAGCAGGAATGGTCTTTCATGACAGGTTCAAAGCTTTATAACACCTTTATTGAGATAAATCCCGTACTGTAAAATCTAGCCATTTAAAGTGAACGGTTCAGCGGTTTGGGTGTATCCAGTGTTGTGCTACCCTCACCACCATGTAATCTTAGAACCTTTTCCTCACCCTAAAAAAGAAACCCCACACCCATTAGCAGTCACTCCCCATCCCCTCCCGCCAACCCGAGGTAACCCTTAATCTACTCTCGGTCCCTATAGATTTGCCTGTTGCAGACATTTCATATAAATGGAAACATGTAATACGTGATCTTTTGTAACTGACTTCATTTCACTTAGCAAATCTGCTCTGAGCATTCATGTACATGTTTATGTGTGGATGTATGTTTTCATTTTCTTGGATTCAAAAGACAGTTTCCGTTTTAAGGTGGCTTCCCATTCTGAGCTTTGCTGAGTTTAAAGCTTGGTCCTCTCTCTGCCCCTTCCTTCCCTCCTTCCCCCGTCCCTGTCCCTGTCCCTGTCTCTCCAGCATTTCATGCTTCTTCTAAAGACAGCCTTCCCTTCCACTCTGTCCTCCTTCCCCAGCACTCAGCTGTACTTTTCCGAGATGGAAAGGTGCATTTTCTTTCAGCGGGACTTCCTTTAGCACTTGGTTTTGTAAAAGCAGTTTCCTCCGAGGAGACTTTCTCTGTTGGCACCCCGACGCCTCTCTAGGCAGTCCTCTTAGGCCCCAGGCTGGCTCATTTCCCATCTGGGGACATACTCACATTCCATGCTCTGGGGGATTGCAGGCCCACACCTGGAGGCAAGCGCTGCCCCACCGTGACCTCCCGATGGACACACGTCGAGCCTGGCTGCCCTGTCTTGACTTGAGGGCAGAGGGGAGACCCCTCCCATATCCCCTGCCTCGCTGGGAACTCTACTGTGGCTGAAGTTTATACACGTTAAGGACCCTGAAAATAGTTAACACCTTTTGCCTACTAATTCCACTACTGAGAATTTATCTTAAGGAAACAATGAAAAGAAAGATGTTAGTCGAACCTCAGGTATAGTAGCAAACAGCTGGAAGCAGCCCAGATAGCCCACTGTTGCTTGACCAGGGCTGGATAGCTGAGAATTCAAATATAATGACATAGGAATAAGTGAAAAGTTCTAAAATATGTGTCCATGTAAATTGTGTAGTTTGTTTCAGACCTTGGTAAATGTGTTATGACTTCTATAAGGTTATTTATTGGTTTTTCTCTTCCGATCTTCTAACCTACTCTCATGACGGGACTAGATCCCCTACCTCTAGCTTATACCCAGAGAAAGGAAATAGGACCTGGAGAAGGATGCGTAAAATTATGTTAAAAGCTGAATACATAAGTACCTTCAGAAAAGATGCTTCTAAACTATAGATTGGCTGTGTTAGATTTGTGAAAATCTGAACAAATCTGATGCGGTTTCCCAGTGTGGGCGTTTGGGGCAGGCGCCCAGGCCCACCCAGCGAGTACTCCCGTGCAGGGAGACGGGGCTCCAGAGCCCTCGCACGAGACGCCCAGACCAAGGCTGCAGGTTGGAGGGGCTACAGCCGGAGAAGAGTGGAAGAGTCTGGAATCAGAGCGAGCAGGTGACAGCAGGGCTCAGCTGAGTTCACATGGAAGCAGAGTCCTTTGGGGTTTAGCAGGGGTGGAGGGGACTCCTTCCAGAATGTTCTCCTCTGAAAAGATCCCTTTTTCTTCTTCCAGGAAAATGTTTCGGAGGATCCGGCGACCTCCGCAGGCACGTCCGCACTCACACAGGGGAGAAGCCGTACACGTGTGACATCTGCAACAAGTGCTTCACCCGCTCTGCCGTGCTGCGGCGGCACAAGAAGATGCACTGCAGGGCTGATGACCAGGGGCAGGACGCTCTGGAGGAGCTCACGCAGGCCATCGAGACCTCGGACCTGGAGAAATCTCAGAGCTCGGATTCTTTTTCTCAGGACGTGTCCTTAACTTTGATGCCCGTGTCTGTTAAAATCCCCGTCCACCCAGTGGAAGAAGACTCAGTGGCAGAATTTGACGGCCACTGTAAGTTCCGGTCCCTGGTTCAGTCTCACGGAGCAAGTGAGCAGGAGAAGCTCAGCTTGGGTCCCCTCAAGCTCGCCAAGCCTCATGTGCCGCAGGCGCAGCACCAGGCCTACAGCTACTCGGGCGTGGAGGCCTCGGCTGGCACGGAGCCGCTGCAAGCCGACGGTATGGCCGCGATCCGCTCGTCCCTGGCTGCCCTGGACCATCACTGCGCCGACCCCCTGGGCAGCCGCGCGTCCGCCCCTGCGTACAGGAACTCGGAGGGACAGTTCTTCTCCAGCATGACCCTCTGGGGGCTGGCGATGAAGACGCTGCAGAATGAAAGCGAGCTGGACCAGTGAGGTCCTCTGTCAGCAGCTCAGCATCAGAGGCGGCTTTAGCCCGAGAGGCTAGACTCTGTCCCTCCTGACAGGGGGTGGTCGTCGGAAGTGCCTTGAGCTCAGCGTGTGGGAAGAAAGGCCTCCTGACACATCGTGGAAGTGGATGAGGGACTGAACAAGCCTTGTGCCCCAGAAGGCTTGAGAGACCGTCTCCCAGACGTGGTGTGAACTGCGTGTAACTACTGTACATTTTGGTCGTGGTAAAGGGAAAATATATGGGTATAATAATACAGATATTATTTTTGCATTTTTACATGACTGAAATTTGTAGCATTTTGTATTTTTATTTACAAAAAGATTTTATTTGTATAGGAAACTCATACTATAATTTAATTTGAATAAATAAAAGTTGCCTTTCTGTATAATATTGTGTTTCCACAAATATTTTTATTAACCCAAAGACCATAGTGGTATGAAAAGAGACATCAACGAGGGCTCACCCTGCAGGGATAAGTGCCAGGTTCAGTTCTTGTGCCATCTTGGACAGTGGGCTTTGGGAGCCCTCAGAACGGAGCCTGAGTCCTGGCTGCCACTTCCTGGTCAGGTCATGGGCAAGCTCCTCAACCTCCTAGAACCTTCTCTGGGTTTGCTTTTCTGCAGCATGAGATGAATAACTTTCAGCATTCTTACAAGGCTCAAATGATCTCCTCGTCCACTTGAAAATACCTGCCCAGGGTCTGGTTGCTGACAGAGCTTCTAAGCGCGTCCAGTCTCTCAGCCGCCCAGCAGACCTGCAGGCCTCTGCGGGACAGTGAGTCGCGCCTGTAGCGCTGTCGCGGGAAGGTCAAAGTGAGAGCAAGTGCACTGAAAGTGCGGTTACCTGTGTGGGCCGCGGAAGTCACTGGCCTGTAGAACTGCTTGCACAAAGGACTAGGATGCTTGAGGGTGCCGTCGTCATCAGCTCTGGCCCGGAAATAAAATATGACAAACGAGAGAGGCACGGGTAGGTGAGGATTTTCATGGAAAACCCGTGGTTGCAGAATAGGACGTCAGCTCTGAAGTCAGATTCAGGTTCAGCTCCTGACGTTCCCAACCGTTAAGGGCGCTGCAGTCCCGCAAGGCTGCCCTGAAGATGGAAGAGCCTGAGGTCGCGGGGGGCTGCAGCCTGCACGAGGACATGCGGCTGGTAAAGCTGAGACCCACGGTCTCCTTGGGGCCGCACCTGGCTCAGAACTTGATGCCTGGCAGTCGCACATGGATGGTCATCGCCCTCTGCCTTCCCGCTTGTCCCCTTTCTCATCCCCGCCATCTCTTTCCAGCTCCTCCCTCTAGTACTCCAGCCCCAGCAGCCCTGCATCCCCACCAGGACCTGGAGCCCATTGGTCAGCTCATCTTCTCACTGCCCCTCACCCCCCATGTCCCTGTCTACCTCTTTCCCAGGCTGCACCCCATGGGCCAACATGCTGTGATCCACCTGCCGGCCTCTTTATCAAGCTTCCCTGGTAAAGCCTTGCCCTCTCCTCCTGCACGTGGGGAGCTGAGCCAGGCTGGTGAGAAGCAGCCATCCTCTGGTTTCTACCACAAATTCCTGGTGAGCCCAGGGTCCGTGTGGCCTCCTTCCTCACTGATCGAGGCCCTGTGCCATCCTGGACACCTCCTTCTCAGCCTTCGCAGTGTTCTCCATCCTCCTGCCCATGAGCTTGCTTCCTGTTTCTCTGGGGACTTAGAAGCAAATAGGAAGGCCTCCTCAACCTCCCCCCACACCTACCAAATGGCTGTGCCTGTAGATTGTACCCTCACCTAACTGCTGCCTCCCCCCACCCCACCTCTCTATACCCCGGCACCCAGCCTTGTTTTTCTCATTAGGACTTTCCACTTTCTAACCTACTATAGGTTTCTCTTGTTGCCCCACCAGGAAGTAAGCACCTGAGATGTTTGTCTCTTGTTCTCTGCTCTATCACCAGCGCCCGGACAGTGGCTGGCATTTAATAGATGCTCAGTAAATAATTGTCAAAGGAATGATCTTGGAATTCCTTTTAGTCACAATATGGGCCCGCCTGGATGGGTCCTCTAATTTCCTTTCCTCTCTGGCACCCTGTTCAGTCAGTTGACCTTTGTCCCCACTACTCCATTGGAACCCTTTCTGTCCAGGTCTCCATTGCTCACTCAGTGATCAGTTCTCAGTCCCCATCTCAGTTGACTGTTGGGCAGTACTGACAGCTCAGCAGGGAATTGATCCTTCCTCCATGAGACAAGAACCAAGACTTCCTGGAGGACCAGTCGCTCTAGGTTTCCCCTTCCCTCACTGACTGCTCAGTCTCGGGCTCCTGTTCCCCTCCTCACTGGCCCACATTTAAAAGTTGGGGTGCCCCAGAGCACAGGCCTGGACTATTCCTGTCCTTCGTCTCACTAGACCTTCTCCGCATGTCTAATGACCCTAATCCGTTTGCTCATCTCTCCCAGACTTGTGTGTGTCCTGGGCCTCTCCCCAAAACCCTAGAATCCTGTACCCAACTGCCTACCTGTCATCTTTCTCTGAATGTCCAATAGACATCTCCGAAAATTTTCGAAACTAAGCTCGTCATCCTCTCCCCTTCTCTTGCCCACCTCACTAAATGGCAACCCCATTCTTCCGGTGGCTCAGACTAAAAACCCGAAGAGTTACCCACTTCCATCAGTAACATTTATGCAGCGCCTCCCATACACCTGGGTTTTGCCCAAGGGCACAGAGAATAAGATTGCCTAGGCTGGGGTAACCGCAAATAAACCTGCTTGACAAGGACAATAATTTGTTCTTGTACAATAAAAGTATAGGAAAAAATTAAAGCCAAAGCTTTAAAATTCATATTTCCTGCCTCTTTCCTTTTCTCCCCTTATTACTCTGCCCAAAAGACTTAACCTAAGTAAGGAAAAACTTAGGATTAGTGAAAAGGCTTGGAAGTGTGCTAATGTGTTCTTGGATGGAAGGTTATCTTGCAGTAGGCCAGGCTTTGACTTTGTGTTGTGCACATAGCATGGACCATCCTCAGCAAGAATAAGAGAGAGAGAGAGTGTGTGTGTGTGTGTGTGTGTGTGTGTACATGTGTATGCGTGCACATGCACATCATTGACCCCAGAGTCAGGAGACCTGGATTGTGTTCTCAGCTCCATCACCAACTGTGTGACAAATGCCGTCCTCTCTCTGGACTTCAGTATCCAGACAGTGGAATGAGGTTTTCTCAGTTTTATTGTTCTGTGAACATTCTCTAAGGACAGCCCGTGACTAGGTTCCTCTGGAACCTTCCTGGGCCAAGAACTGCCTTTCATTACAGAAGTGGGGTACAGAGGCCAAGAGATTGGGCAGGTCTCCAGAAGAACCCCAGCATCTTAGAATGTCTGAGCTGGAAGAGACCTTAAGAATTATCTCCTGTTTCCATGGGTCTCCACTTTCTATGAGGTCGAATGGAAGCCTTGTTAACAATGCAGATCTTTGGAAATTTTGATTCTGTAGGTCAGGGCCAAGGCCTAGGAGCTGCACTTTAGCAAGTTTCCCAGATGATTCTCAGGCAGGTGGTGTAAGGACAGTAGTTGAAGAAACTCTGCTCTAGTCTGAGTCCCTCATCGGATAGATGCCGTGAGTTGGGAGGTGACTTATGCAGTCATAATA